AAACAGCACAAAAGTGGGAAAATGAAAAATTCCATGAAAAAGAAACCCAATCAAACAAAGCCTAAATTCTGAAATAAGTAATTCTACAATCTCTGCCATTATAGAATTATAATCAATAATAGGATTCTGAATTTCATTTTAGATAGATCATTATGACAACATATCGACTATAAATTACTAAAAAAACATACATTTCTATAAAACAAAATTCAATAATCAAATAATTCGAAGGAAGAAATTAATATATCTCCTTGGTGGATGTCTTAACAACAACTTCTTGTCTTTCAATCCTCATTTTCATATCCCTCTTCATTTTCTCCAATAGTTTGTCGTCATCGTCCGCCTCCAGAATGGGCACTTTGGCATCAAAATAGCCTTTAACAGCTAAGGTTTAGCACACATATGGAACTTATACTAATGCGAAAGCTTCACTTTGAGAGAATTGCAGGAGAAAGAGAGGCCACATTGCTCATCTCAAGATTCTACACATTATAATTTATTTCAATGTCAAGAACAACCAATAAAAATAATTCCCAATCAACGCCTTTTTTTTACAATCGATAAACAAAAATCTATGGCTCCCACAAACATAAAAAATAAAAAAAATGGAAATTACATAAAAGCCTACTTTTGAACATCACATTTCATAAATCATATGTTATGTTTAACATTTCAAAAATCAGATATTTTATTAATTAATATATTATTATTATTATATTAAATTAATTTATAAAACAACCTACCTCCCTCGATCCCCCTCATTTTCCCCTAAACCTTTCTCTCTCATTACTCTCAGCTTTCCTCTCTCTAGTCGTCGGCGCGACTGTTGCCACCGCTTGACCAACACCAAAATCCCACTCGCCGTCTTCGCTCACTGTCGACGTGAGCGATCTAGCCACCGCTTTAGATTTTTGGGGTGGTTTTCAAGTCGACCTGCCCTTTCGAAATCTGTCGCGACGAGCTTCGGTACGGCAACAATGGCAGTGGGGATGTGTGTTATTGTGTAGTGGTGTTGGCGACGTAGTGGGTGTGTAGTAGGTTTGATTTTTGGGCTGTGATGGTGGTGGGCGTGTGTGCGTTGCTGGTTGGGGACGGTGGATCTAAAAATGGAAGCGGCGTTCACAGTTGATGGCTGCAATAGTTTGGACGATCTAGTTTTTAAGTGTTGGTAGTGTCATTTGCTGGTTGTGGTGCCTCTGGCTGTATACGGTGGTGTTGTGTGGGGGTGTCGATGGTTGTGGTCGGGTGCTTTTGGTGGTGTCGGGGTGTTGATTTGTTTTTTAGATAGCGGTGTTGCCTTCGAGTAGTGTTGGTAGTTTTGGCAGCGACTGTGGTGGTACAGGTAGCAGTCGACGTTGGTGGTGACGGTGTCGGTATTACTAGTGGTTGCTCTGGAGGATTTCATTTAGTTTTGTGTTTGTGAGTCTAATTAATTTTCTTTTGGTTTTGAGTTTCTAATCTAATTTCTGAATCAAATTTCTCCAATTAATTTGGTGGATTTCTGATTGTCGTGGTGTTTGGGCGGTGGTGATGTTGATCGTGGCGGCGGTGGTAGTGGTCGTGGCGATA